CTGGCACAGGATCGGGAACGTTGGAAGCACTGTCTGGCGCGTCTGCCTCCGCGACCCGAAAAGAGAAGCGACGATGAAAGATGAAGATGAAAATTCTTTGCTTGCGCAAACGGCTCAAGGTGATGATCCCACTAATGTCAACCAACCGTTTCAGAGTTGACGACAGTTGTTTACGGCTACTACTGAGGTCCATGGCTGTGCACTCAATCTTTCTTCACTCTGTCATACCTTACAGTATTTCTAAGGCTGCCTATTTTCTGAGACAGAAAAGCTAAGCATGGACCATACAGCGCACTGCCAATAACGTAACTGACAGCTCATCATTATTCTCTCAATCCTAGCATGTAATTGGTTGAAGTTTCTTGTTCAACTTAACCTTGCCAATTTTCATTTTCAAGGTTTCACAACACACATGTTAAAGATCATTGTTATTCGGCAGTTGATTGGTTAAAGTGTCGTTCATTGCTAAGGGCCAATGGCACTGCTGAAATACTCAGCATGGCACAGAACAGCATCGCGAAATATTAAGCAAGCACGTTTGCCGGACGTGGCTAAAGATTCTGCCGATAGGTAATAGGCTACGGCACCGTGGAAAAACCTCCTGGACAGTAAACGTACCTCGGACTACCTCCCGTCCTCTCCCCAAAAAACAGTTGCAATAATTAATTTGTGTAGTGTTGCTATTGTTTATTGACGATGAATGGTACTTGGTGACAAAACTATGAAAAATATCGTCCTCCCTTAAGAAAGGTGACAACATCATTTATAGCGCTTGCGTCCTTTTACGGCACAATATTTTCCATGTCGTGACCACGACCACCGAGATAGCTCGAAAGGATATGATTTTCTTCCATTTTATGATCAAATAACGTTCATTCGCTTGGCTTATGAGTCGTCCTCTCTTCGAAGTGGGATTTTCAATTGTACTTGATTAGAAAAACCATTCTTTCGAAAAAAAATTTCACGCTTACCAATACTGTTCAAGGCAACACTGGTAGGTTTTAAGCAGCAACGACCTTTTTATACTGTTCGTTATGTGCAAAGGCCAATGAATTTCCAGACATAGTTTGTTCTTTGTCATTGGTCCAATCAGCATTCAGAAATATGGCCATATCTTCTTGGTCCTGCTCTATCTTCAAGCGGCACCGAAACGCGTAAGGTACTACAGACAAACAGCTAATGCATCAGTGGGTCGAAATTATCAACTCGATCAGTTTGGAGAGTAATTATGTCTCCCCCCCCAAAAAAAATTTAAACAACACTGTGAAAGACTTTGTCATGGTTTCAGATACAGTACAGACGGTAGTCCTCAAGTATTTCGCATAATTACAAAGCAATAGAACTGTCTGTTTCTATGCATATGGAATGATGTCAACCGCCATAATCAGCAGTCCTCATTTGCTGACTGTTCCGGGTTGATTACAGATCATTGCGGCTACCGTAATGGCAGAGGAGTGTACATTGCGCCATGCCTCGCTTTGCCCTTGCGATCTTCGGCTTCTGTTGTTGTCGCACTCTACAATGAGATTCACTGAGGCTTGATACATGGCGTATGCACTTATTTTGGCAGCAGTTTTCATTTAGTTCAACTTTTGCACTTAAACACAAATATAATCTTGCTTCGTGCCAATTATGTACGACATCTTGAGATTGAGTAGTTAGTTGATGAAG